ATGGTGGATCAGGAGCGGTGCTGCTACACCAGAAGAGAGCGCAGAAGCAGGTCTAAAGCAGGGCCTGAATCACGGCCGGCCTGATGGCAATCCAGGCTGGCCATGACGAGGCAGCCTCCCGTCTTGGGGCCCGCTACAGTGTCAGAATAGCAGGGCCCCTGTCTGCCTCTGAGCTGGCTGTTCCCTGCCTGTCCACCTCTGAACTGTATGTCCACCGCTGCAAGCTCCTGTCCGGATGACATCTTGTGTCCGGGTGTCAGGAGACCTGGCACCCGGACACATGATGACATATTATTGAAAACCCGGACTGTCCGGGTGAATCCTGGACAGGTGGCAACCCTACCTAACATTTCCCTAACATAGGGCCTTATGCAGAAGTGTGTATAAACACACATTAGACTGAAACAATTTTAAGTTCAGTTTCAGAGCAGCGGTAAATGAAACAATTTCTTTTAACACCATTGCCACAATATACATTCAAGCTACTGTTTCTAATGAAGGTCTAGATGGTCACAAGTTCACATGGTACCGTATGCCTGGCTTCAGTGACTGTGGATATGTAGTCTAAATCAGACTGGATGTGGTTTGGCTAAAACTTGACCAGCGTTATGCTTCAGCAAGAACAGCTTCCCATATCTGAAATATGGTGTTTTGCTGGCTGCCTAGCTTCATGCATGCTAAGTATAACCTTGAGGTACAGTAGGAGGGCCAGAGATTTAGTTCTCACATTATTCAATGTACTATACAAATTCTTATCAGTAACAATGTAGTAGTCCTACATGGTTGCATTAGTCACCTGATGTAAGCGTTAATGAGTGTCATTTTTATTCCTTGTGAATGTGCTCATGTGTTTACTCAGGTATAGGAGGACCATAAATTAATTTAGATGTCACTGTGGGGACTATTTGACAAAAAGACAAGAACCTTATCCATAACCCCTGTGAGAGAGAAGGACAAGATGACCTTTATGTTTCACAGAACAATAGTCAAAACCATGAAGTGCGTGGCATCTGGCACTTTCCAGTGTTGTGAAACCAAGCTCACTGGAGACATGCTGTAATGCTCACTTGCTTAGTTATTAATGTATCATAACCAGCTTCTATTGTTTTACATGTCAGGTTTATCTTGGTTTGCTCAGGGGATATAATTTATATTTAGAAGAAGTATAGATGGCCTCATAATAAAGTCAAAAGTTTCCCTTTTTTAGGCGTATGTTCAGGTAAAAAGAAACAAAAAACACATGCAGTACAGTTTTTCAATATATGCACATTCCCCTGTGTTTTTTTTACCCTTTAGCCCTCATTCACACCTATACATAAAGTTGCAAATTTTTAGGAGCAAATTGTGACACATTGATGTGAATGGGCAAATGCGTGTTAAACACATGTAAAAACACGCAAAAACACAGCAAATGCAGATCTTTGAGCGTTTCCATTTAAGTCTGTGGGTCCAAGAAGCGCAGAATCTGCCAAAAAGAAGCTCTTGTACTTTTTTTCCAGCGATAAGCGTTTTGCTACAAGCCACAAAACGCTCAGCTGTGAACATGGCCATAGAAATTAATGGGAATTTTTTTTGTGGTGTTTTATTTTTAGCGTTTTTTTCAGGCAGAAGAAACGCTACAAAATGCTTAATGTGAATGAGGGCTAAAGGATCTGCAAGTGCAGAAAAATACCTGTTGATCTGCCAGAAAAGCACTCAGCCTTTATTTTCCTATTGTGGACTGACAGTGCACAGTATTTATGTAGGCTGAGTGGTGTTAACCCTGCCTAGTTCTCTTCTTCTAAACTACTCAATCCATCCCGCTGTCTTTATCTCCAATGCATAGGTACTAATTGACTTGTAGTCCCAAAATAAGAACTGGGAGGGCTTAATAGACTCATTGAGTGTACAGATGACATAGGACAGCTCTGAATTTCTGACAAGATCAAAAGGTTTCTTTTTTTGCACTTATAAAACAGAAATAATAAAATTATTCTGATTGTATGTTTATCAAACTGGAACAAATAAGAACAGCTTTTTGTTAGTGTTTACATACACTTTGGGGGTTTATATAAAAAATTTGCTTAGCTATTCGTCTAGTATTCTGTGCAAATTAGCCACCTGTTGTTTGGGCAAAATCAAATGCTCCTAAGGTTATTTTTGTTCTGGCCGAAAATTCAAGTATTATGGAGGTTAGTGAATCGGGAAAATACTGCATTATGGCCATTAGATGGAGCTGAGGATAATAGAAAATAAATACATCTTAGCAACAAGAGATACAATATAAAAATTTGAGAGAATGGATTTAGCAGTTAAATGTAACCATAACTACTACAGGGATCTCTGTAGTAGCAATGGTTACTTTTATCTTTTAATTCCATTCAGCAATCATCCAACTGGGACAAAAACAAGACTAAATGCACTAATAGGTTAGTTTTTTTATCATCTCAGGTCCAGATGATAGTGATCCCCAGGACAGAATAATAGGGGGGATATCTCCTCAACATGCAATTAAAACCAGAAAGCCCGTTTTTTATACAAAATTTTAAAACAAGTTTTGGTTGGAATTTTATCCTAATAAACATCAGCTCATAAACAAACAGAGTAGCATATTATATTGTAAAAGAAGTATAAAGTTAATTTTGGATAGAGTAAGGATAGGACATTATTAACCCCTTTTGACTAAAAAATCACATCAGCATGTAACTCTCCATGCTGATATGAAATCCTCTTACGTTCATTAGTTAAACAAACATATTTAAATTTTACTTACAATTTCTTGTTTTCTACTTCCTGGTTCTATGTGATGTAATATGTGCCCAAAAGTTGCATCCTGGAAAGGTTACATCAGCAGTGCATTGCTGGGAAATCTCATCTGTAATTTCACAAGATCTCAGGAAAAGCATTTTCCTCCCCTGAGATGATGTGCATGGTCACATGTCCTAGTCATATGTGCCAGAGTTCCAGGAAGTAAAGAGATATTTTTTTATTCTGCCTATATTAAAAAAGGTCACTGTGAGAAGACTGGGGAAGAAAATAAAAATGCAAAGAATAAAAAGCTGGCAATTATCTAGAAGTACATGTTTATAGATTGTCATTACAAAACACTTCTAAAGGTGCCTTTGTTGTTGTTTTGAAGAAATGGGTAAAGTTTCTTCTTAAAATCCCTGCCTATTTTGCTACCTGAGCAGACTTCCCTTCACCACCTGTCCTGTACACACAAAAGGAAGTGAGAGGAAACCTGTCCAAAGTGAGTCCCCATTGAAAGATTTCTCTTCTTTTCTTGTTCTAGTGACAGGGTGGCCAATGGGGAGGGGGGTGGTTACAGGCAGTCCTCGTGGGTGAGCAGGGCCATCCGGGCCCAGCTGTGGCTGCTTGTTGTTCTGCGCTGAAAGGTGTGCCAACACTGTACGCTTCCTGCAGCAACTACATCACTCCCCGGTGAAGAGGACCTTGTTCTTGTCACCCCTATAGGGCTCCCAGGCCATCATTAGCTGCTTTCTCAGTCTGGGCAGCTGCATCGGGAAAGGGCAGGCTGAAGCAGTTCCCAACATAAGCATAAACCCAGTACCAGTGAGCAGAGCAGCAAGATGCACAACTAGAATGGTGCCCTTAGCTGGTGAATGTGTACTGTTCTATGGGTTCCTAATGTCTCTGGTCACGTGAAAAGGTGATAGAACAATGTGTACACCTCTGGGCTATAGATTAGGTGAGTGTGTAGCTGGACATTGCGGGGAATTCCCAGGGGCTGAATGGAATGTAGGCTTGCTCAACTTTTAAAAATAAAAGGCCCATTCCCACCAGCAGGTGCTCGTTAAAGTCCACATAACGCGCATCTGCTGGAGTGTTGTGCACATTCACTGCAATGTGTTGTAAAATGCATAGCAGTGCTTACTTTTCCCTTCTTTTTTTCATCCTCCTTTAACTTGACACTCCAATTATTCTATGCTTGACAGTGCATTGCAACGCACCAAAGCGTGTCAGAAGTAATGTGCAAAAATGAGACAACTCCTTGTTTTCAGTGCACACCAACACTGAGCGTGTTGATGTAAACTAAAACAATAAGACATAAGGCAAATAACCTTTTCTATGTGTTGGAGCTGCATTGGGTTGTGTTGCAATGAGGCTGGTGTGTATAAACCCTAAATGATCACGGAACTGTACAGGTGGGATATGACAGGTACTCTCAGAAGGTTAAAAATGTATGGGGAGACACAGGGGGGTGGGGGCCTGGCAAGTAAGCTGTATAGGGCCCCATGATTTCTAAAATGTAGGATTTTCCCTCCCTTTAAATGCCAGTGACAGTGGTCACCAGGACAGACAGAGGGAGGGAGGACACCGAAAGCAATAAAAACCTGATGGGGTTCTAACCCCTCACTAGTCTATCCAAGACTAAAAAACTTTTGCCATTACATACACTCTAACTATTATTCATAGTAATAATACACCTATACTATATACTAGACATGTGCACTGCCAAAACATTCGTTTCGTTTCGCTTTAAATTCAGATTTGTGTTATTTAGTTTTTCGGGATTCGGGTGTGAAAGTCAATTCGGATTCGGAACAAATTCGGTAGCGGTAGTTCGTTCGAACGTTCGTTTCGGTTTCGTTTCTTATTCGTTTCGTCCATTCGTTCGTTCGTTTGCAGCAAATTGACTTTTGAGGGGGAAATTCTTTTTCTTCAACGAACGAAACGAATAAGAAACGAAACCGAAACGAACGTTCGAACGAACTACCGCTACCGAAATTTCGGAAACGGAAATTCGGATTCATTTGCATTCGTTATATCTGTAATTCGGAATTCGGATACATCCAAATGTCCGAATTTCCGAAAATTCGTCCGAATTTCGATTCGGAACGAAAAGAATCGCACATGTCTACTATATACTTATAATATTTTACAATTGTTAATTTGTTAGCACTGGGCACATACTGTATATTTCACATTTGTTCATATGTAAGCTAAAGTTAAAGTGTACTTATATTTTCAGCATTGCTGTATTTCAATTCATTTTACAGGACATTGCAAAATTTCCAGAGAAAGACAATACTGTTCTAGGGGAAGGAGGAATCACCCTGAGTGGAGGACAGCGGGCACGAATCTCTCTAGCAAGGTAAGTCTTTGTTTATTTCAATAGCTTCTCACAACATACCAATATCTAATCACAAAATTACTTTGCTGTTCTCCTTGAATAAATGTCACATTGTAAATCCAGTTTAATAATAAAATTACTTCCTGCGGTGTTGATAATCCTCCTGTGTACATAATTTCTAATAACAGTCATTTAAAAGGTCGTCTTGATGTTATGGTACATGCTTGTAATACAGAATTTTTTTGAGAGAATTGAATTAAACAAAAAAAAAAAAGTCATTGATTTAGAAGTGTGGCATTTGGGGTGAAGAAATGACCTGCGAAACAGCAGAACATTTAGGACAGGTTCGTAAGACAAATAACAGGATTATTTTTTAAGCTTTTACAGTCATGCAGAACTGTTACATAATGGTGAAGCAAACGCTATAGGTGATTTTCTTATACATGGCCACTGCCATCTGTCATTTACTCATCTCCTCATCTGTCGGTGTATACATTTAGGTGTATACATCAAAGTGTGGTCTTTTTTCATGAACATTAACATGGTTAATCACAAAAGGGTGAAGGGTTTGGAGAAGGCAGAAGAAGTGAACAATCTAGGCCAAAAGAGCTGATTTGGAAAAATTCTCCAATTCAGCCCACTTTCCAGTTCAGCTATGTTGTCCTAGATTGTTCACTTCTCCTGTCTTCTCCAAACTCTTCAATCTTTTGTGAATAACCTTGTCAATATTGAATTGTCTGAGCATGCATTGCTATGGAGGAGGGATGGGAGGTAGCCAAAAAATATGCTTATAGGCGCCAGCTTAAAATGAACCTGTGCCCAGATCATGCACACTAAAGTATTTACATATGGTGAACAAGGATGACAATGTATTTCAGAGGGAACCCACACTAGGCCATATCCACCAATACTACTATTTATGTCCATAACAAAATTGAATTTACTGGCCATAGCAGCCTTATATTACAGAATCATAAATAATAAGAAAATGGGTCGACAGTCCTTGAAGGTACCAGAGACAAACATCAAACCAGAAAAGTTCCGCAGCCACACTACGCTGCCACGGGTACAATAGCAGAATCCTACTGCTGAATACACATCCGCACATCAATCCTAGGCCTCAACAAGTGTTCTACATTTAGTGGAATGCCATACCCTAGACTGGTCCCTACCCACATTTTGACACAAATGAACACCTTCAAAGACGCTCAAACTGCCAATTTGCTACCATAACAGAAAAAAAGACATAGTTAAACATAACAAACTGGACACTAGTTTGGGACGCTCCTTGAATGCTTTCCAGCCTGTGAATGCCACTGCCTGCTCATAGCCACAGTTTGACTCAGAAGACCCCTCTTTCCAGGAAATCCTTCATCAGTCAGGCAACAGCACCTTCTCTGTTATTCTATACACTTATGCCTCTAACTGCCTGGCCCCTTCAACCATGTACCGTAGTTTCTGTAAAAGCACTTGTAGCATGGCTGACTATCAACATCAACCAGCTGC